CTTTGGAGATGTTTCAGAGCCTTCCGTTTCATTTTGGGTGCCGAAACACCTCCGAAATGAAATGGCAGCTAAAATTTCACACAGCCCTACTGCATATTAGTCTAGTAACACTGCACACTATGCTTTTAGCATGGTTTCTGTCATGACACACTACCACAGTGTTATTAGGTTAATGCTCAGTAAACTTCTCAGGTAGATGTACCCAGCCAGTGCTTAACAGTAAACCACAACTGCTTTAATCAGTTTGAAAGAACAGGTCCCTTTCATTTACAAACACTGCAATGTGTATTTTCCCTTTTGCACAGTAATAAGGAACTACATTTTAAAAGAAATAGATTACGTAATGCACTTGTTAATCAGTACATTTATACAGCATGCTTAATTTAAAACAAGCATTACATATAAATGTTCAAAATACAAGCTAAGTAAGGTTTAAAGGGCATGTATTGAATTCAACAACTCCATTCCAATTACAGTTACTCTAGAAAATTTTAAGTAAGGTGAATTTATTCCCCCTACAAAACTTATATGGAAAAATCTATATACGTTTGCCAATGAAAGAATCCAATTATAAATCAGTGCCCAAGGTGTGTCTGTAAACTTTAGGTCAACTAAGAACATGAATGTAGAGCAAACAGGCAATAATCACATAAGAACTGCAGCAAGTAGAAAGAGCACCAGGGTCAGAGCTGTCCCTTGTGGGAGGTGAGCAAATTGGGGCGACTGCCCCAGGCCCCATGTCCGGCTGCTCAGCACTCTTCCTGAATCCGCTGTCGAATCTGGCCACTCACCTTCCCCATCTCCCCCTGCCCACTGCCAAATCCACTGTCAGTTTCCTCACATCCAGGGGTGGGGCCCCGCACCCTGCTCATGTCATCTCTAACCAAGGCACAAGAAATCGAGAGAACATGTGGTAATGAACTGTCATTTACAAGACCAAATACAACCGTGCCTAAGATGTTGCAAGCCCAGGCTTTACTTGGTAACTACTTATCATAAAAACTCTGAAACACTGGCTGTCCATTTTGCATCTGCCTGAAGCTAATATGACTAGAAACATGTACCATCAGTCAGGTACAAAGATGATCTTAGAAATGAAGTAAATAGAAAAATATTACAAATGCCAGGGGTGGATCCAGAAAGGGGTATGGCAATGCAATTGAAACACCCCCCTCCCCACCTTTAGTTGTGCTGCATGCGAGCCCTTGGCACAAGGTTTGGCTGGACACACTGCTGGAAGGGCAAACAGTGGCAGCATTCACTCTCTGGGCTCTGGAGTGATGTAAAAGCAGGGGTTCTGATGAACTCAGATCACTGCTCTAACAGAGCTCCAGCAAGAATCTGTGCTGACCAGGCAGTGAGTTCAAAGCTCACTGCACATACATAGCACAGCCAAAGTGCTCCCATACTCCCCCCTTCTCCCATTCCTGGACCCACCACTGAGTAATATTTATCTGATTCAACAGACAGTCCAAAGCAGTTACTCTAAGGGCACATAGATTCTCCTGTTTCCTGTTAGTCCCTTTGCAGGATTCTCCCTCCAAAGACTAATCATTGACACTTGAAGTCTGAATATTAGGTTTTTCGATGCTGATTAAATTAGTGATCTGAACTGAACTTGTCCTCCTGCTTAACACAAATACTTGCGATGTCATAGGGATAACGAAGACCTGGTGGGACTCCACCCATGACTGGACCATGGGTATAGACGGCTATACCCTGTGCAGGAGAGATCAAGTGGACAAAAGGGGCAGGGGTGTAGCTCTCTCTGTCAAGGAGAGCTACATGTCCCTGCAACCTGATATTGGCAACCAGTGGACAATTGGAGACCCTCTGGGTTAAAATCCGTGGGAAACACAGCACAGGGGATACAATGGTGGGTGTCTACTACAGACCTCCCATCCAAAGTCAGGAGCTTGACGAGTTCGCCAGGGAATTGACTGAGGCCGCATGCTCCTGGTCCACAGCTGTCATGGGAGACATCAACTACCCAGACATCTCGTGGGAAGAGTGCTCAGGTAAATCCAAGCGGTTGCAAAGCTGATCATGGGGATAACATTCACCCGTGCCTCAGTGAGAGCTACAGCCCAGGACACTTGTGCAGCACTGGAAACTGCTAGCTGTGTACCCACCACCCATAGAACTACAGAGCGATAATGGCCCTCACTTCTGCAATCATCTTGTGTATGACTGGATCGCGAAACATGGCATGTTATGGACATATCACATCCCATACCATCCGCAGTCTAACGGATTGGTAGAGTGAGTCAGTGGCATCCTCAAATGCAATTTGTGGTTAGCTCCTGGCCCAGCTCTTAAGGACTGGGACTTGAACCTGGACTGAGCTATCATTGGGTCAATAACTGACCCTGTCTGGGAGGCAGCCCTATGCAACAGGCCTTTGGATTGGGTAGATCCCACAAGCTGGCAGTACAGCAACCTAGGGGTGGTGACCCGGGAAAGCTCCAGGCAGGAGCTCAGGTGGTAGTGAAGCATCCTCAAGGAGATAAATGGGAGGGGACACTATTGGCAAAAGGTATGCATAATACATGGTAGGTATTTAAGTCAGATTCATCTAATGGGAGCCAAGCTCCTTGTTGTCTTGTTCCTACAGATTGGATCTGTCCACAAATGCAGCCATAGCCATTCCTAATTGAGCCTGCCACTGAAGACAAGTACTGCTCTGTCACCTGTCTGAATTGACTGGCATCATGAAGTGGTGGACTGTTATAACTGTATTCTTATTAATGTCTTATTGTGTTTCCTGGGTAGGGCATGTCTACTATTCCTTCTTATTACCCAGATATTAATGAACTTGCTCCTGAAGACCTAAAGGAGTGGCCTGACCTTGAAGAGCATCCCCCGAAAACGTGCTCAGATGACCTTCACATGGTCCAGCCGCAGTATCTGTATTGAAAGAAACCCGCCACCCCAGAGCAAGTGAAATCCTGGTCTCTAAGTAGAAGAAACAGGACAGTTGACTGGCAGGGTGGTAACTGTCAGTGCACCTGTAGCACCAGTTATTATCTTGGGTACATTCCCTACTGAAGGCTAGAATGGCTAACTGTGGGAGGGAAGGTAATTGTTGTAGCTCTGCTCGTTTATGGGTTTGTTGTTACATAGTTCCTGAGGGAAACCCCATTGAGCTCAATGCCCCTGAGTCTGTGCCCCCAATTGTGCACTCTGTATCTGTTCAGCCTCTAGAGCCACTGCGTTTATGGGAGAACCTACCCCCTCCCATTCCTATGGCTGACAACACTCTCCAGCGATAGTGTGAAGCCCACCAGGTGGGAGGGCACGTTACAGGTTGAAACAAAGTTATTACATGGTTTATAAATCATACCTACACAGAGGCATGGTGGAATAGTACCACCTGGGATTTGTGCAATTCGTGTTGCTTAGGAGCTAAAAGTGGAGCCGTTGCTCTGCTGCAATTAAGTAACTTTACTTTTAGGGTGGATGAGAACCTGATGGTGTTTAACACCAAAAAATGCAAGGTTCTCCACCTTGGCTCAGCAGTGCTACGCTGGCTAGCACTACGGATGAAAGGGACTTGGGGGTCATGATTGACCACAAGATGAACATAAGCCTTCAATGTGATGCTGCAGCTAGTAAAGTGAGTAAAACGCTGGCTTGCATCCATAGATGCTTCTCAAGCAAATCCCAGGACGTCATTCTCCCCTTGTACTCAGCCTTGGTGAGGCCGCAGCTGGAGTACTGCATCCAGTTTTGGGCTCCACAATTCAAAAAGGATGTGGAGAAGCTTGAGAAAGTCCAGAGAAGAGCCATGCACATGATCAGGGGCCAGGAAAACAGACCTTACAACAGGCTGAGAGCTGTGGGACTCTTCAGCCTGGAAAAGCACAGGCTCAGGGGTGATCTGATGGCCACCTATAAGTTTACTATGTTGGCTAACACTATGCAAGAAAGAGACTTGGGGGTCATCATTGACCACAAGATGAACATGAGCCTGCAATGCGATGCTGCAGCTAGTAAAGTGAGTAAAACGCTGGCTTGCATCCATAGATGCTTCTCAAGCAAATCCCAGGACGTCATTCTCCCCTTGTACTCAGCCTTGGTGAGGCCGCAGCTGGAGTACTGCATCCAGTTTTGGGCTCCACAATTCAAAAAGGATGTGGAGAAGCTTGAGAAAGTCCAGAGAAGAGCCATGCACATGATCAGGGGCCAGGAAAACAGACCTTACAACAGGCTGAGAGCTGTGGGACTCTTCAGCCTGGAAAAGCACAGGCTCAGGGGTGATCTGATGGCCACCTATAAGTTTATCAGGGGTGTTCACCAGGATCTAGGAGAACATTTGTTCACCAGAGCACCCCAAGGGATGACAAGGTTGAACAGTTATAAACTCCTGCAAAACCGTTTCAGGCTGGACATAAGGAAGAATTTCTTTACTGTCCGAGTCCCCAAGGTCTGGAATAGCCTGCCATCGGAGGTGGTTCAAGCACCTACTCTGAACACCTTCAAGAGAAAATTGGATGTTTATCTTGCTGGGATCCTGTGACCCCAGCTAACTTCCTGCCCCTGGGGCAGGGGGCTGGACTTGATGATCTTCCGATGTCCCTTCCAGCCCTAATGTCTATGAAATCTATGAGAGTTGTTGTATGAAATGATATAAAGGAGGACATATGTAGGGAAGCGGGGGGAGTGAGAGAGAGAGAGAGAGAGAGAGAGAGCGAGAAAACCAGGGCAGGAATAGCTTTGGTGCTAAAAAGTGAACATATTTTCCAAGTGATATAACAAGGTCCCAAACAAATAACTAAATTTTCAAGTATCATTATGTAATACATCAAGACCATTTACTAACTCTGTTTTTTTTATAAGGTGCTTATTTTCATCAGTGAGAATACTGCAATGGATTTCTAAATTTACAACTGAGCCCACGCTCTACAGTTCAAAATGGAATTTGGCCATCTCCTCCAAACTGATTGGAGGCCCCAATTTTAAAACATGAAAAAAAGAGAAAATAATTTAACACTGTCTTTTTATTCCACTTCCAGTGGACAAGGAGAGAGACTTTAATAGTAACACCACTGTAAAAACCAACAATTATACAAAAAAACCAAAAAAAAAAAAATTATTTTTGAAGAAGGTTAGAAATAATATACATATTAATTCTTGCTTGGTGCTAAAATAATTTAAATATTTTCATTTTTTAGATTTTTTCTGACTGAAGTTGCTATTATTGAAGTGTGTAAAATCCATCTTTCTTCAGCTGAACACTTGGAAGTTAAACATTTCAACCAAGCCTTAATACCTGATCTGTCATTGAACAGACCAATAAAAATTTCCTGCCATTGTATTTGGAGAAACAAACTCCTAATTCTGTCCATCTTTGTATTCTCTCTGACAAAAAAGCAGAGTAGGGGGAAAGAATAAAATTACCCACCTCCCTAACCCCTAGCTAGGGAGAGCACGCTGCAAATATCAGCATCATCAAAATGATGCATCACAACGTTCATGGTTACCTTCATTTCATTTTCCCTTTTCCAACTGCTAGAATTATCAACACAGCAGCAGGAGGTAAACATAAAAAGATTCACCTTAAACTCTGCACAGCATTATAGAAGAGGCAGCAAAATTTGAAAACATTTCTGGTTGAAAGCAATGATAAATTCTTTGGCTACACATGAATTTCATAACCGCTACAAAAAAAATTAACTATTTCAGTGATGTGACAGCAAACACCAGTTTGCCTTAATTTGCAAACACCAGTAAAAGTTCAGTTGACACTGGTTAAAAAGTGACAAAAACTGAAGCTGCAAAACACTATAAATTTTATTCTTAAAAAAAAGTGAACTATTCAATGTGGGTCATTGATATGATGTACTTATTTAGATACAGCCTAAGTAGTCAGAGACTGAAACATAGCCTTCAGTGCTTTGGTATTAATGGAGGCTTTTAGTATGCAAGTAAAGAGCTAAAAGAAGGTATTTTCATAACATGCTTATCTTTTTAACTGCTTGAGCCTAACAGCCAACAGTTTAAAAGGCCTTTTTCATTACATTATAAATCTCTCCCCCCTCTTATATTAGGACATCTTCTGAATCATCCTCTCTATAATTTGACTGAAATTTAAGGTGAAGAATTTCTATAACAGGTAACTTTAAAGTGAGACAACACGTGTTGAAGGAAATGCATGAATATTTCAGTTGAAAAAAGCATATTTTCCATCTTCTTCATGCAACCAGCATGCATTCTAAAGTCTCCTACCTTCCCACCCCTTTTTAAAATTGTTACATTTTCCATTACGACTTCTTATTCTGCTCTACAGCATCCGAACACATATATGTAACACAGTATTAATGAATTTCCTGAGTCAGGTTTCATCGTTATCTGTAGAAAGAGAGAGAGGGGGGAAAAAAAAAATCAGCCTAAGCTTAGTTAACTTAAATTAGGAGGAGCAGCTTAATAATCAACCATATATGTCATAAAACTATTATGAAACAACACAGACAGGGACATTTAACAAAATAGCCAACTTCAAAATTACCTTGAAAATACTAAGCATGCAAGCCTGTAAAGAAGGATCCTGCATCCTTATTGGATTAAGTAAAATGTCTTAATATACTTGCATGTCAAACGGCATGCTCAGTTTAAAGAACCTGTCACCATGAAATCCTTTTACCACTAAAGGATACAAATTTTTATAACTTCGCTTATGCAAGATAAAAGTATTTATACAACTGTTTAGTGGCAAATGTCTTTAAAATTGCCACTAGTCCTCTATTTCATAGTTTCATAGTTGGTAGGGTCAGAAGGGGACCTGAGCAGATCATCAAGTCCGACCCCCTGCCATGGCAGGAAAAAGTACTGGGGTCAAACGACCCCGGCAAAGTGTTCGTCTAACCTCCTTTTAAAGACCCCCAGGGTAGGAGCCTGCACCACTTCACTTGGAAGTTGGTTCCAGATCCTAGCCACCCTATGAAGTAGCGCCTGTTGATGTCTAGTCTAAATCTACCCTCTGCCAGCTTGTGACCATTATTTCTAGTCACTCCTGGTAGTGCTTGGGGGAACAGGGACTCCCCCAATGCCTGCTGGGCCCCCCTGACTAGTTTGTAAATGGCCACCAGAACCCCCCCTTCACCCTTCTCTTGTGAAGGCTGAACAGGTTCAGGTCCTTTAGCCTCTCTCCATAGGGCCTGCCCTGCTGCCCCCTCATCATGCAGGATCCCCTCCTCTGGCCCCTCTCCATGTTGTCCACATCCCTCCTGAAGTGTGGCACCCAGAACTGAACACAGTACTCCAACTGCGGCCTGACCAGTGTCGCATAGAGGGGGAGAATCACCTCCTTGGACCTGCTTGAGATGCATCTGTGGATGCATGACAAGGTATGGTTGGCCTTCCTGACCGCATCCCCACAGTCGGCCCATGGAGTCATTATTGATGCCAAAATGAACAAGATCCTTTTCTGCCTCCGCACTGACAAGAAGGGAGTTCCCCAGCCTGTAGGTATGCTGCTGGTTCTTCCTCCCCGGGTGCAGCACCTTGCACTTGTCAGTGTTGAAACCCATCCTGTTCTCATCTGCCCACCCCTGTAACCTGTCTAGGTCTGATTGCAGCCTATTCCTCCCTTCTAGCGTGCCCACTTCTCCCCACTCTTGGTGTGGTCTGCAAATTTGAACAGGGTGCTTTTTACCCCCTCGTCCAAGTCACTGATGAAGATGTTGAACAGTGCAGGCCCGACGACCGAGCCCTGAGGAACCCCACTGCCCACATCTCTCCAGGCTGAAAATGACCTATCCACCACCACTCTCTGGGTGCGACCCTCCATCCAATTAGTGACCCATTTGACTGTGTAGGTATCGATGCCACAGTTTCCTAGTTTTTTAACGAGAATGTGGTAAGAGAGTGTCGAAGGCCTTCCTAAAGTCCAGAAAGACTACACCCACTGCTACACCTGCGTCTAAAGATTGTGACCTGGTCATAGAAGGCCACCAGGTTCATTGTTCATTAGTGGAGTTCTCTGTAATTTGGGGGTGGGGCTTTCACATTTTAATGATATACTGTATATCCTGTAAAATATTTAATTTGGAATCTGGACTATTCTAAATTACAATGGTTTTAAAATCAGCCTTTGGCAACAAAAACAACTCATTTTTAGTAGGACTTGGTCAGAAAATTCCTTGAAAGTTGAAGTATGTTCCTAACATTTGCTGGAAACTATCATTTTAAGAAATGTGATGCCAGCATATGAGGGGAAAAAAAGTTCATTCTTCACGAGTGAAGGCAACTGCATCCAGCTGGTGGGGGGTGGGGGTGGGGGGAAAGAAAAAAAGAAATGGGAAGGAAACAGGGAGGGAGAAAGAGAGGAAAAAGAAAGGAGGGGGCTGGAGGCTAGGTCGTGTGGGTACGTAGGTGACTTATAAACCTGATCTTTGTCTTGAACAGATCGGGTATAATGCCAGCTTATATCTCAAAAGAAAGCCGTTCTGCCATCTTATAGGGTTTCCTTTGGTTTTACTTTGTTTCTGTTCTTCATCATCATAACTTCCATGAAACAATGCTCCTATCACTTTTGGTTTGTACCTATTTCTTAGACTGCATTTTTTCCCTTCAGTTTCATATGGAATATTAGTCAGTATGACTCTGTATGCCTTACTGCTAATCATATCATTAAGATATCACTCCATCTCTGCGAAGACAATTTGATCATCTGTGTTTTCCCTGCTGAATGTCTGAACTGTTCTGCAGGAACAACAGGAAGTAAAAAGAATGATAAAGGTGTATATGTCATCAGTGATTTATTTGTTAAGAATGATTCTTTTTAAAATGGGATTTTTATACTTAATAAACTGACCTGCTATATCACGTTAAAATTTTAATTGAATTTACTGGATCATTTTTTCACTTATTGTTGGATATCTGGTTTTGCAAAGGAGTTGAATTAAATAATTTTGGTAGTAAATTAACAATTAAAACATTTCAGATAAATGGCAAAAAATAATTGCAACAAGGCTGGTTCTCAATGGTAATTATTTTAAATATTTAAACCTTAATGGCCAGAAAGCTAAACTTAGCTTAATTATCATTACTTAAAAAAAAAAAAAAAAAGCAATATTCTCTCTAGATTATTAAACACAGATTAAGTTTGCTTATTTAAAAAAATGGTAAAAACACAAATATTTTCTAAACGTTCCTTCTATTCATGAATATGGTATAACAAAGGAATGACAAAGGTATGTAAGCATTTTCATTGACCACGTAGGTGTTGCTTTGATTTGTTAGTGCTTTTTAAAAGGTTCTCTTATTGCTTATATTCACTTGAGACTTACTTTTAGAAGACAGACCAACAATCTGACTCTTGTTTTAACTTTCCAGGAAGTTTTCATAGGATCAGCCTGACTGGCTGCTCTTAAGCATGCCAGACACTGTGGTCTCAAGAGGGACGAGAGAAGAGTGCCCCATAGCATCTTCACTGGTGTATTTCTAGATTTGGAACATACATAGGCTAGATGTGCTCAGGAGCAACTCAGCCAGAATTTGTCTGCTGTGTTCAGACATGCCCAGTGGCTCTTTCGTTTGCATCATTAGAAAGATAAAAAGGCTTTGGGTTCTGGCTACCAAAAACTAGCTCTTAGGGAGAATGCCATGGATTGGGTTCACAAATCAAAGCTCTTCACTGGTATAGCAAAAATAAAAACTGAATAGCATTTCACATCATGCCTTTAACCTAAGCATTTCAAGCAATGATTGTTTAGCTATTCCATATTCTAAAACTATGCCCAAGGCTTAAAGCTTCAAATTCTTTAAAAACAGGTGAATAGAACCTGCTGTGCTCATTCCAAGCACAAAAACTTAGTACAGAAATACTGTATAATGTCATAAAGCATTAAGAAAATTACCTTCTTGATAGGCTCCATCTGCCATTACCAAATGAAGAATTTTGGCATATAAGTGTTTATGTTCATTTCCCAAACTAGTCTGAACTATTGTTGAACAAATATCAATATTTTCATCTTCATCTTCATGTATAGCCTAGGAAGAAAGACAACCATGTGGTCCAAATTAAGATGGGCATAAAATTAAACAATTTCACAGTAACAAAGTGGAAATCATCTGTGCTATACCTCAAACTCATCTTCTAGGTCCTTTACACTGGAATTTTTAATATTGCCTATCAGCATGCTGAACTGAATACAGAGTTAGAGGAACATGCAGAAATTCTAGTCATAGGATCATAGGAAAGCAGAGCTGGAAGGGAACTCCTGAGATCATCTAGTCCAGGCAACTGCTCAAGACAGGATGGTCCCTGACTAACCCAACCATTCCAGACAACAGTCTGTTCAGCCTGCTCTTGAAATTATCCATGGATGGAGACTGCACAACACCCCTAGGTAGTCCATTCCAATGCTTGACCACCCTCATAGTCAGAAAGTTCCTCCTAATCTCCAACCTGAATTTCCTCAGCTGGAGCTCAAGGCCTGTGGTCATAGAAAAAAAGCCCATTTCCATCATCTCTGTAAATTGCCCTTCAGGCATTTGAAGACTTATCAAATTTCCCTTCAGGTTTTCCTTCTCCACTAAATAACCCTCTTTTACTCTTTCCTCTTAACTCTTCCTTTTCAAGTTTCTAACAACTTCTGTTGCTCAGCATTCCACTCTTT